GTGGATGGTGCTGATAACAAACCGCGACCTCCGGAAGGGGGTCACTTTGAATAACTCAAAATGGTCGCCCCATTTGTGAAACTTAACTGAGTTGTCTTTTTATTAGCCAACTGTGGCTGGGAGCTGCCATTAAATACAGTTCCATCATTCCCTATAGAGTTAGCGATGAAAACAAGTGATGTTCAACATGATTGCTGACTGAAAATAAAGGTGAATTCCCTCCTCCTCCTCTTTACAGAAAGCCATAGCAGGGGTCTTTTCTCATGGCAAGGGATCTGATTGTTTTCTAAACGGATTATTAACTCTTTTGTTACAGTAGGGGTCACTTTAATGCTTCTTAGGCTCCATTAGCATTGCTTTAAAGAGCGCACACACACACACACACACACACACACACACACGCACACACACGCACACACACACACACACGCACACACCCACACACACACCCACACACACACACGTTCTAGGATTTGGCGTTGCTTGTCTTTGTTGTTCACAGTGGGAGAGGAATGATACCGTTATAATGCTGTCAAAGACAATACCTCAACCTCAAAGGGATAGTGTAAGGAAAGGGATGTGTGAGCGTGGTTGTGTGTGTGTGGGTTGTGATGAAAAGGTGCCCTTAAGAAGACCAGTAAGCTTAATGCAATAGTGCTGACTTCAATGGATACCTCAAAGAGAAGTGGCATTACGCAGTCCTCTCCTCTGAAAATCCCCGACAAGTCCTTGACTGAGAGAGGGATCAGCTCACTCTTCACGTTGGGGCTGTCAGAGATCTTCAAGCCGGAGAATTGGGATCAAATTGAAATATGACAGATATTTAGGAACTAAGTAATTTTTTGGATGCAATATTTTCTCCCTGATCGTTTATAGAAACAAAAGTTAGTGTCAACCGTGTAGATACCCTTGGGAAAATCAAGGATACTCAGCTCAAGTCAAAGCATCACCGGGCCTCAGAGGTGTTTGCTCCGTGGCTCTTATTGACCATATGAATGTGATGCTGGTTGTGGGGAGGCCCAAGAGACCCTCAGATCCTGGCTGGGTACCTCCTCCAGCTCTGAGCTCCTGTTCTGGGGAAGGATAAAGAGGGTATCCCTTACTGGCCTGACCTTAAGCCCCCCTTCCATCAGAGTGAGGGTTCAAAGGTCAGATCAATTGGCTCCCCGTGGCCCACTGTCTGCAACCAGGCTTAATCACCTATTAACAGCCAGGGAAAAGGAGATGGTGAGGGACTGTTATTCTCATTCATCCAGATGAAATTGAAGCCCCTGGCATATATTATGTATTACTCTTCATGTGGTTCAAAACCCTTCATGTGAGGTCTCAAATTAATTC